ACAGTATATGTGATGCATGAGATACAGCGTCTTTAAACTGTGTGTGTGTGTGTGTGTGTGTGTGTGTGTGTGTGTGTGTGTGTGTGTACATGAATATTCATGCTCAGTGAAGTTTGGGGATGAGGAGAAGAAAAGTCATGCTCTGCTGATACTTCATTACTTAGTATTTGTTAAAGAAACCTTCACACACACACATTCTAGGACACAAAGCTTGTTTAAATGGCCTTAATCCAATTATTTCTTCATTCTACATGTTTATGCACACAAACTGTCACCCTTTGCTTACATGCACACGCACATACACACATCAACAATCCTCCTTGAGGAGATCAAGAAGAAGGGGATACAAAAAAATGGAGGACACTAATGTGTGTGTGTGTGTTTATGTGTTACGTGTGTGGATATGTTGTTGTTGTATATGTGTTCATTGTGTTTGTTGTAAGATTCAAGTTCAGACAGTTTAAGTGCTTGTGAAAGATTTAAGAGTATGTGTGCATGGTCACTTGTCCTTCTGTCTGTTTATTAGACTTACTTTCCTAACCATGCATGTCTGCATGTTGAGCTGAACAGGAGGAAGAGTAGGGGAGGCTGAAAGGAAGAGGAGAGGAAACAAGTACGAAACATAGAACGTGGAAACAGAACTGGGGAAATTAAGAAAAAGAGCATTAAACAACAGACAAGCACAGTTAGCGACTTGCTGGTGAACATAGCATTTAACAGTGAAAGAGACAGATTTTTCCCCACAAGAACTGGTTGAGAGCAAACAAAGAGCTAAAAGAAAGTGAATATTGGACTTTCAGGTCATCAGGTGGCCAGAAACACCACTCTAAATGAATCATTATGTTGCTCCATAGGTGCTGGATGTGTAAATAAGTAACTGTTTGCAAACACGTTCACCATATCAACTTAAAAGGAGATATGTCAATGTCCCGTGCACGACTTGCGTCTGCTGATCCCAAGTGGCATTTGTTATTACAGATTTAACCATAATGTAGATGCGACAATCTTTCGCTAACCTTAAGTGCAGAATTAATCGGATTTTCCTAAAAAGCAATGTGGCAAATAATCCCTCGCAATTATAGTATGACCTTGTGTCTGTATCTCCAGAGACCCTGCCCTATGCCTTTTCCTATTTTGCTGCGTTCAGGACGTTTCTGGGCTTCAAAAATGGCAGACAGCAAGGTGAAACAGCTTTCACCGGCTGGTGAGCATTGAAGGAGAGGATGAAGAGCGGTGCGGAGTGGGCCTGTTTTCTGTTGGACAGGTAGGTGCGGTTAGCTTAGTTAGATTGCTAAAGAATCGACTTTTCCATAACTTCCAACAATAGTAGCTAGCAGTGTACATACACACACCGATGCAAATAATTTTACATTTTGAGAAAATGACCCTAATGCTGAGTTTGAGCTTAGAATTATTTTCCATCTAACACACAAGCCACGCCGGTTACTGCAGCAGTCCAAACCAACGTAGCAAGTTGATCTTCAGAGAACCAGTGCTAGTGTCTGCAATGACCTAGTATACAGTAGCGGAGATAGCTAACATTACTGTTGGCAGTGTATTCTTTTTCTAACCTTGAAGAACTGATACAGCAACGTTTCATATACAGCAATGTGGCCCATGAGATATGTATGTACATCTAAATCCTAAAGGGTCCTTCTAGTAAACTTCTTTTTTTAAATCCCGGAAAAGAAATGGCTCTGCTTTGAAGAAGTAAGAGAAACGAGGAAACAAGGATTGCTAAACTAAGGAAGGAAAGGAGAGGGGGATGAATGAAGTGGGGGGAAGACGGGAAGGAAGAAGGGGGAAAAGAAGTGTTCAGTGTGGAGGTTGCAGCTGTGTGCGTGTGTTTGAGTTGTGTGTGCAGCACTAGAGACTGTGATCTTTGTGAGTCGGACGGCGAGGACAGGAGGGAGGAATGAGGAGGAGAAGCACAAGCAATTTTCCACGAGACTTTTAAACATATTTTAATGAGGAATCTCCATGTGTCTGTGCTGCAGTTTTAAAAAAAAAACACTTTGAAAACGCTGCACTCGACCAACGGAGAGGGAACTCAAGAGAGAGAGAGAGGGAGGGTGTTCTCTTGAGGAGAACAATTAAAAGTATAAAATGTAATCTCCCTCTCGCCTATGGACTGCTTTAAATGTGATTATTGGGGCGCTGATGACGCAGAGCGGACACCTGCACCCAGGGGAATCCTCCCAGGCTCTGGCCCTGATACTTTGAGCTTTTGGAGCAGAGACAAGAGGAGACAGACAGATAACTGATACACAGAGACCCTCCCTGTGTTCTAATAATAAGTGCAGTATTTTCAGTACTAAGAGTTGGACATTTTGGGAAATACATTTTATTGCTGAGCATTTTATGTGAAATTGATATCACCCTCATGCCTGTACAGTAAATATGTAGCTGCAGCCAGGAACCAGTTAACTTACCTTAGCATAAAGACTGGAAACAGTGGGAATTAGCTTGCCTGGCTCTGTGAAGAGTTAACATATTTGTATAACAGCACCTCTAAAACTGACAAATTAACACGTTATGTCTACAACAGCAAAGGTGTGTCTTTGGTGGGCAACCAGCGAGGATTCCAGCAAGTTACCAATCCTTGCCAAGAAAAAGGCATGCATATATGCGTACATATATACAATACACAATTGCAAACCAAAATGAAATTTGGGGCTGTGTCACTGCGGGTTGTGTCCTATGTCGTCCCATTGGCGTTTTCAGTCCAGAATGGCGGCAGCACAACCGCAATGCCGTCCATCGGCGTTTATGAAAAAAGCATCAGTGTTTTAACCTCTTTGCTGCTACACTCTTGGGCTCAGCTGCCAGTCCAAGCTTTTGTGTGGTTTTTTTCTGCTTTTAAGTGCCTGTTTTTGTGCACATATTGAGCAGATTATATTGTCACATTTTTCTGCATCGAAGCACTCCTTTTTCCTTTGAGAAATGTTTTAGAAAAAGATCTCAGTGAAACATTTGCAGAATGTTTTATAAATATAGAGAAATTCCTCACATGGGACTGAGTACAGACTTACAAAATATATTGGAATGAGTTTTTACACTGGTGTACTACTGTATGACACTGAGGAAAAGGAGCTCTGTGTTGTAAAGATCTATGACGATCAATGTCAGCTATAAATACTGTACCGTTAAATAAATTAAAAAAGTCCTAATTATAGGCCATTATTAATGTTATGATAATGGTTTTCTTTCTAATAGGTTTTTGATCTCTGGATAAGGTATTTTAAGAATTTGTAACTGATAACAGTCTGAGGTGACAGGAAGCACTGCTCATTGACACACCAACCACACACCAATGTATCACATACACACACACACACACACACAAATGGATAGGAACAAAGAAAGTGTTTCATGTAAAAATATCAGCCCATATTAATACACAACAAGCTATTCTTTCCCTGTGTGTCAGTAACATGACTGAGTGGAGGGACGGAGTGAGTGAATGGGGGAGATGACAGACAGCAGCAGCAGCAGCAGCAGCAGAGGACTGTTTCCCTGTCAGGTTCAGATGCAGGGCTGAAAGGAGTCTCTGGAGACTCTGCTCAGACTCAGAGGAGTGGGACAGATGCAAGTCATTCATCATTTATCTCCATCGGTGGGACTATTTTTTTTTTCTCTCTCCCCCAACGATGTCACACTCCCATGGGACCCCCATTCTGTCCACCCCCTCATCTTCATTGTTCTGACAGCAGATGCAGCAGCAGAATGGACTGATGATCAGTGATGACAGATGATGATAAGTTTTGACACATCCTGTAGTTTAACGTGGAGTAGATGTGGTTTCTGAGTTATAAAATGCCAGTGTAATTAACTACTTCTATTCATTAGGGCCCCTCCACCAATTTTACACGGCGACTTCAGCCTACTCCTTAGGAAGAGCAGCACTGCAGCCTGAGAAAACTGCTGGGTAATGTCTTCTGTGGCTCTGAGGGGAGATTTCCAAAAAGCATAACCCTCATGATGTCATAGTGATGTAATCAGGCTCATCTCCGCTTGAGTTTAGATACTGTACATTTTTAACTGAAAGTCTGAAACTGTGGACATGGAGTCTGAAAGATGTTTCCCAGACAATGAGGGTCTAATGAAAGAAGCTATCGGGGTGCATTATGGGAAATGTAGGATCCACTATTTCTTTGGAGCTTGACCAATCCTAGGGACTAAACGTTGGGATATCTTGTCCTCTGCTGCCTTTGACAGTTCTGTTTTTTTCATGTCTCTTTGTAAGCCCCCCAAATTCATGAAAGTGCAAAACCAAATTGCTGGAGGAAGCCTTTAATTTCACCTCACTTTAATAACCCTTTATATTTCACTGCACAGAGTTAACTTGCGAATCACGGGAGGAAACTCTACTATCAGTTTGACATATGCATGCATATTTAACATGAATGAACTGCCTAATGCTGCACTGTTACCACAATGGACAAGTTACCAGACTGAGCTACGGTATTAAAGGCTGGCTGGGGGAAAACGCTATTATATTCCACTCCAGCTGTTCATCAGCAGCTGTTCGCCTGTGTGTAAGAGAGCTGGAAGGACGCATCCAGAGCACACTCATGTAAATCACGACTGCGGTTTGCGTAATGATCCTGTAGTCACCTTTGGGAACAAACACACTCACACAGAAACACTCTGCACAACCTTTAGGCAGTTTTTTGTTTTTTTATGGTCTCTCCCTGATCCAGTCCTGCAGCAGCGGCACATGTTCCGCGGGAGATGAATGTGAAAAGCTACGGGACCCTGTAACTTGCAGTGCACGTAGATGCAGGGCAGAGTCACGTAGTCTATAGCAGCAGACCATCTAAGTACTTAAAGATCCGTCATTTTAAAGCCACGGAAGTCCGGATATGCGTCTGTATCATCCAGTAACGCACAACTTGCAGCCAAAATTACTTCAAAAACATCTTACTACTGCAGTGGAAGTTAAGCATTGTCAGAAATACAAGTTTCAACAGAATCACTAAAATGTGAGCAGTACTCACTCATTAGCAGAGCAACAGGCAAGAAGAGGAGGCAGGCAGAGTTCATCAGAGATGCCATGCTGGCCCGACAAATTGTCCTCCGCCCTCACAAGTTGCACCGAAAATTCCCAAGTTGTTCTTAGAAAAGAAAAGGCAGCCCACACTGTCCCGCTGCTCAGTGCGTTTCCCTCCTGTCCTCCGTGCAGCGCTGCACTCCAGCGTGAGAGCATCCACCGTGCGCTCATCCGCTCCGCTGAAGGGGAGGGCGCGTCCGTGTGGAAGAGGAGGAGGAGAAGGAGGAGGAGGAAGAAGAAGGTCTACAGCAACTCTGAGGGTCCCCGATGAGCTGCACATAAAGCCAGGCCTTGCCTGGATGGACGGGTGGATGCTGGGAGGATTTTGGGGGATTAGACAGCGCTGGAAGAAGTATTCAGATTCTTTACTTGGGTTAAAGTACCAGCAAACACTTAAAGTGCCATTCTGCAGAAGAAACCACTACTGATTGATGTACTAGCATGACAAGATTAGATAACTGTAGGTGGTTACTGAACTCCTTTGTACACTGTTACAGTCAAGTCCAGTGGTTCCCAATTTAGGGGTCAGGCACGCTCCTTAGGGTCACAAAACAAATGTGAGGGATCATGAGATTCATCTGATTTATGAAGTTGCTTTTTTTTGTGAAATATTGGATGTTGTTACCTTTTCTGAGAGAGGAAAAGTTAAACAAATGGGACCAAATGAGAAGTTTAAAAGGCAAGTTGTCTCTTTGTGTAGAACGGCTAACACCTCATAGACAGGGACCCCAACCCAAAATAAGTAGTAAAATAAAAAAAGTTGGTTTAAAACTTAAATGTACAGTATTTTGTAAGCTTATTATATATATATATATGTGTTCTCCCTAATCTAAATTATTCACATGAAAAACTGTTAAATTAATGTAGTGGAGTATGAGGTACTCTTTAAATTGTACTCTAAAGTATGAAGTAGGAAACAATGGAAATACATACTGAAGTACCACAAAATTACGCTTAAGAAGAGTACTTTACAAATAATAATACAAATAAAGACAATAAACTGATCGTCTTTTTTTATTCAAAAAATGTTTAGGGTAAAAGAAACAGTAAAAGATACAACATAACAATCCAAGCCGAAGGAAATGATCAAAAAGGGAAGAGAGAAGAAATACACACTTGTTTCAGTCCTGTTTCTCACACAGCTCCCACTCGGGGTAAAGCAGGAGTCAACCCGACAAAAAAACAGGGTCCGTAACTGAATGGTGAAGGTGGTCAAAATAGTACTTTCCTCTGTTTGATGAGCATTCAAATATCGGTCCAAAATCAACTGTACTTGGTAGTCAAATGTTTGCAAACAAAACATACAGATTATCCTCCACTGTGCTGTTTGAGCCTTACTTCAGATCCAACCAAAACCTGACCTTTAAAATGACATAACTGCTTGTAAAACTCAAATGGAACTGCTGTGGGATAATGCTAGAAACATTACAAGCTGTCTAAAGGCCAAATTAGGATCAAATGTTGAAGTAAAACACGTAGAATGCAATAAGGCACTTGCTAGACAAATCCAACTTAACAGATTCTAAACACAGACGTCAAATTAACAGAACGTTTATTTTACAATCAGCAAAACAGTGTGGCCACCCTGCAATTAAACAATGATGTGTGGGCTGCGCACGCGCGCTCACACACACACTCTTACACTTTCAACACACTCAGTCAAAGATGAACAAATGGTGCATTTACAACCTAAAGGCAGGCTTTTTAAAGTTTGGTACAACAGATATTGCGGGAGCAGCAATGATTTCAGAATTCCAAACCTAAAGACAAGCAGGGTGAACATCTGCAGTCCAACTAAGTGCTGCCTCCTACAGCCTATTAGAAGTAACTGCACATTACGTTTTCAAACATTTGGAATATCCTGATAAAATAACATCATTGGTAACTATTATGTTTAGGAAGTGTTTTATTATGTATTAGAACTAGTTTGACAACTCTTGAAGCAAGTATACAAGTCTTACAAATACTAAGTGTTTATATAAAAAAAAGGGACTGACGTACAGAAGAAAACATGGGGAGAAGTGTGATTAATTTACAGGACAGAGCTGTACACATGGACGGCTACCAAACTCAATGTTGGGCTCCAAACAGGTCAGATTTTACAGGAGAATTCTTTCCAGCCTGGAGGACCGTCGCAAATATTTGTTACATTTCAAAAATGTTATTTCCTCATCATTAATCTTATTTGTATCCTTCAGAAACCCTCATTAGAATGATTTATGAAAACAAGGACGAATGGAAAAAGTCTAATGAGATATGTGTTTCATCCTGAATACTTCAAACGCAGGAACAAATTCTATGAACTTTCAGTAAAACAATGTTGATCCTCTTCAAAATACTGACAAATATTTGGCCTGGCAAGGTTGTCTCCAACCCATTAAGAAATAACTCAAAGGAAATATGTAACCAACATAAAATGGCTTTGGTCGTTACATACTTTAGGTTGCTGGGATTAGCTGGGTTGTTTACGAATTTCTGAACTGAGAACAGCGTAATCCTGCAGCAACTGAACTCCAAGTTGGCTCTAGAGAGGATGCTGGACTATTGAAAAAGAAAATGTGTCCAAGCCTGCCGTTTGCTCTTAAGGTCGAGATACAACACGTCTGAAACATGAAACGTGTCTCATTTTAGCGTGTTTCGGGTTCCTTCTGTTGCTCAGAAGTAGCCCCTGCATCACAACTGGTTCAGTATTCTGGAAATTAACATGTCCGTCTGAGGGGTCGGAGGAAAACAAGTAGAACAAATGAAACGGCGATGGTTGGTCTTGCGAGCACTCGGCTAAACATTCTTTGAGTCTTATGCACATTTGGATGAAGTGACATCAAAGGAGCGTCATGTGTGATGTGTCTGGGAGATGGGGACAACCAGAAATTTCAGGCTCTCTGCCTGCCGGCTCTGAGACAGTCTTTTGATTCTTGATGGGCATAATAGGATGAGACACAACCAGAATGCCTCTTGGGGGGGAAAGCAGCAGTAATGAAGTAGAATCTACAGTGAACCAAAAGAGTCGTCCAGGACATTATTGTCTTACAAGGTCTGTCCAGGGAAAAAGAACAGACAACAAAAACTGTTTTCTATTTCCTAACTTGACACTTTAGCGGTGCAGGTAAAGCAGGGGAGGAATGGGAACAAACGGGGGGGGGGAACAACTCTTCTGCACCACGCTTCAGATGAAGAACTAGTGGTTGACGAGACCCTGCAGCATCATCATCAGGCGCCGCGCCCTCTTACTCAGCGGGCTTTGGGGGTCTTGCTGCAGGAAGGCAAAGAGCTTCGGTCTGACCTGGGCCAACACGGCGGCCATGTGGTCTCTTGTCAGTGGGTCGCCATGGTCCAGATTCATCACTGCATCCTCCAGGTAGCTGAACAGGGACACAGAGGGTCAGAGACGTCAGATAACGAGGACATAAGACGACTGACATTGCAAGGATTATCTACTGTAAGTATGAGGAGGAAATATTCATCCACGAGAGAGACGCTCATGAAAAAAAACAGGACAACTTTTTTTTTTACTTTGCTTAAGAGAAGGAAATGACATGAAAAGACAATCGCATCTACAATCTGAAACATCATTCATTCAGCTATAAAAGTAGCACAAGGACAACATGCATACACTTTGTGTTTTCACCCTTGGAGCAGCTGCAGGGGACAGAGAGAAAGTCTCAGCTATCCTTCGCAGCTTGAATGTCAAGCGCTGTCCTTGATCACCTTCCTGGCTGTCTGAATGTGTACATTGTGTTTTCACACCAATATCACAGCAGAAATTGAGTTGTGCCACAGTCACCTGTGCCCTGTCCTCTCTTTCAGACTACACTACTATTTCACTACTCAATTAATTGTTTTAGTCAGACATCTGGCGGTCAGACTGTCCAGCCGTGCACTACTTCTGTCCTGCTCTGTGTCTTTACAGTTTAAGTGACCATTCATCTCCATGTCCGGAGCACTGCCTGATCCCAGCCTAACATTACAGCTGTTCCCACATCGCCAGCTGGCCTCCAGCCAGAGTTCAGCGCGCGCACACACACTCTCTCTCTCTCTCTCTTTAAAGGGGCATTTAATGCCACTGCACATACGGAGTAGCCAGTTAATGTCCTGCAGGAGATAATCTGATAACTAAATTGTGTCCAACCCTTTCAAACACTTCAGAAAAACCACATTAAGTTGCTTTTCGTGCTTCCTCAGTAACATTAAACGAGTTCCTCAAAATCACTTAATGATCCTGATATGATCTTTTCTGGTCCCAACAATCCTAACGTTGATTTGATTTCTCTTTTATGGATTCTTCTAAGATACTATATATCAGAAGTAGAGAAAAAGAAGGATCCTTTATCTTGTGCAAAGCCTCAAAATATACTGTACAATTACTGAAGTTTGTCTAACACCAATACGAATTGATCTCTGTTTTACTCATGAGAGTATTCCTGCACCGCTCAAATACAGTTGGCCATTAAAGCAGGCAATAGTAAGAAGACGTTAAGATGTTTTGTGATCTACTGACGTCTCTCGCACCACAACCCATCCAACCATGGCTGCGCTCTGTCCTAATGCCTCAGACTGAATCACACCATAGCACCGTCAACACTTCCCCCAGATGGCACAGAGCGGCTCCAGAGGGCCGTTTGAGCAGTGGTAGGCAGCTGCAGTGTAGACGCAGATCCAGACAGGTGATACAGACGCAGAGAGGTGCCATAACGTGAGTGAGGCAGCGGCTCTTAGAGGATACACATTCACACATTTTGAGGATATCAGCACTACATAAGACTTTTCTGTTAAAAGTACAGAAAAAACAGACAAGAGTGCAAGGGAAAAAAAATATAGAAGGACATAGAAAGAAAGAAGAGCATGTAAAAATTGCGGCGTTATTCACAGGATCATCCATGCTCCCCGGACAGCCATGCTGCAGGGCTGAAGACGGAGCAGAGTGATGGGGTCAGCAGTTTAGCACTGTTTAGCGCTCCAGAGACAAGGAATAATGGACAAACAATGGAGAGGAGGCAGGGAGCAAAAGTTTAGGCAAAGACAGGCTTTATTACCGATCGTTGGAAGCGCAGGATCCTGCTTGTGTGGGAGAGAAGGCGTGTAATGCAATTCAAAACGTGTTCGCTGCCATCGCTTAAACAGTTTGGGAAGAAGTAAGCTTGTACAGTTCAGAGGTTTTTGATTAAACCC